CTTCATTTATAGCCTGCCCTTTCTCCCTGGAAGGACTCGGGACGGTTAAATAACAACTTGAAAGAATCAGAAACTAGACCCCTGCTCATGCATAGATACCTCTTGGATTCATTTGGTTTTAATAATGTATGGTACTGTATTGTCGAAGGCTTTCATGGCCGGGATCACTCGGTTGTTGTAGGTTTTTCCGGGCTATATGGCCATGTTCTGGAGGCAATTTTTCTCCTGACGTTGTTGGTATGGTGCTGTTCATTATTTGGGCAAACTCCAAAAGGAGCCTCAACAGAGAAGTATAGTCCATTTTATGGGGGGGGGGGGGTCTGAAGAAGGAAAATCCTATTTTTGCTGGTTATTCCCCACCCCCTTTCCCATATTAGAAATGATCGTTGTTGCAATGACAGTGACATGGGTGAGGGAATAACAAGAAAACAGGGGAAAATGGCTTAACCCCTTCATCTCCCCCCCCCCCCCCCCCCCCAATGAACTATCCTTCTCTCTCTAACACAGTGGTTCTCAACCTGGGGTCCCCAGAAGTTTTTGGCCTACAACTCCCAGAAATCCCAGCCAGTTTACCAGCTGTTAGGATTTCTGGGAGTTGAAGGCCAAAAACATCTGGGGACCCCAGGTTGAGAACCACTGCACACCTCCCTTTGGATAATGGAGCAGGACCTAATGAATTGCTCTTCAAACAAAGAGTAAGGAGGATAATTAAAGACATTTTCTACAACATGTGAGTGTGGAGAAGAGCAAACCACAGACCACTTACTACAATGCAGTCTGAGTCCTGCCACATGTACAATCGAGGACCTTCTTACAGCGACACAAGAGGCACTTCGAGTGGTCAGCGTCTGGACAAAGGAAATGTAGTATAATGCCAAGTTTTGTACTTTGTTTGTGATTTCTCTATACATTATAACTGTATTTTCAACACATAAATAAATAGATAAATAAATAAATATATAAGTAACAAGTTACAAATTACTTTAAAAATAATGCTCCAGCATATCATTCTTTCTGCTTTTGGAGGCTAAGCAGGAACAGACCTGGTTAATATTTGGAGACTCAGTGCTGTCAGAGGATGTCACAGGAAAACCCTGTGAGATTCATGGGATCACAGTAAGCCAACAATCAACTTCAAAGTACATATACTCATACACATAATTGTGCGGGATAGGTGAGTGAGTCAGGGCCCTTCCACACAGCCCTATACCCCAGAATATCAAGGCAGAAAATCCCATATTATCTTGAGTGTGGATGCAGAAAACCCAGTTCAAAGCAGATATTGTGGGACTGAAATCTGACCTACACTCAATTGCTAGTGAGTACTATTCACTATGCGAGATTTGCTTCTGGGTAAGAGGAGTAGAACTATATATCCCATAGGTACCAAGTCCTGTCTGATCTTGAAAGCTTAGCAGGGTTGGCCCTGGTTAGTACATGGCAAAGAAACCACCAATGAATACTAGGTGCGGAAGCCTGTGTTTCAGAGGCAGAAACTGGAAAAACCACCTCTTAGCATTCAGAAAATCCTATGAAATGCATGGGGTCATCACATGTCAACGGATGACTTGAAGACACATACACTAAGAGCAGCAGAACAGTGAAAAAGGAATACCAGTGTAGGGCTTTTGCTTTTCAAAGCAGATGACAGTATTGGTCTGAGTGCTTGGGTAGTACATTCATTTGGCTTTTAGTGCATTATTTAAAAGGCATACAGGGAACTCCTTGATATTAAAAGGTTGTTCGAACGTGACACAGTCATCTACTAACAGTTCAAAATGAATCTAATCTCTGGGATGTTACGTCTAAGAATGATTTCAAGCCTGTGAAGTGTACATCTTTCCCAATGCTGTTGTTGTTATGATCTCTGCTATACAATGCTTGTGTGTCTGGTGACTCTCAGGAAGGAAATTTGGGTGTGTATGTCTTGCACTGCTTATATATGCAGAAGAATGAAGAAGGGTGAGGAGGAATCAGTGCCTTTCTGTGTTCCATATGGAAAAACTATGTATTCGTTTTGCTTAATCCTGTTTGGGAAGGAATATTCCCAGTGAAGGCAAATGCCTCTGTTCAGCTCCTCTGGAAATCTGTTTGCATCAAGGTCTGGTACTTGCCAAACAAAAGACGTCTAACAACAACAACAACAACAACAAATACAGCATTACAGATAAGAGGGGTTATTCTGAGGACGCAGATGTGGTGAGCTCCTATAGTATGAGAATAAACTCATATTGGGAGTCTTAATAGCCTCCCAGGCTCCTTCTACACAGCTGGATAAAACCCCACATTATCTGCTTTGAGCTGGAATATATGGCAGTGTGGACTCAGACAACCCAGTTCAAAGCAGATACTGTGGGATTTTCTGCCTTGATATTCTGGGTTATATGGTTGTGTGGAAGGGATCTGGGTGTGGGAAAGAAGAGAGATTTGAGAATAGATGGAGTGGAGCAGCTGCATTGGAGGAGGGAAAAACTGAACTGAGCATTGCCCTAAAGCCACCAAACTCTGACTGATTGTGGAAGCTAAGCAGAGTCAGCCCTGGTCAGTACTTGGATGGGAGATCACAAACAGAGACCAGATGCTGTGAGTCAGGGGTCCCCAACTTAAGGCCAGTGGGCCAGATGTGACCAGGCCCCTGCCCTAAACATTTGACTTATGGCCCTTCCACGCAGCCATATAGTAACCCAGAATAGTAACCGGGAGCCCCCGGTGGTGCAGTGAGTAAAACCCCTGTGCTGGCAGGACTGAAGACCGACTCACACCAGAAGCGACTTGCAGTTTCTCAGGTCACTCCTGACACCACAAAAACAAAACAAAAAACAAAAAAAAAACAACAACAAAACAAAACCCAGAATATTTTGGCAGAAAAACCCACAATATCTGCTTTGAATTGGGGTATCTGAGTCTACACTGTCATATAATCCAGTGCAAAGTAGAAAATGTGGGATTTTATTCAGCTGTGTGGAAGGGGCCCGAGGGTCATCTTAAGTCTGAAACTATTTGAAGGCACAGAGCAACAGCAATCCTAATTGACTTGACTATGGGCCCTTCCACACAGCTATATAACCCAGAATATCAAGGCAGGAAATCCCACAATATCGGCTTTGAACTGGGTTATCTAAGTCCACACTGCTATATATTCAGTTCAAAGCAGATAATGTGGGATTTTATTCAGCTGTGTGGAAGGGGCCTTTCTCATCAACCAAAAGGAGGACCCACACTTCCCATTGAAACTCTGGGCCCCTTCTACAATGCCATATAAAACCCAGCTTATCTGCTTTGAACTGGAATATATGGCAGTGTGGACTCAGTGTTTGAAGCAGATATTGTGGGCTTTTCTGCCTTGATATTCTGGGATATAGGGCTGGGTGGAAGGACCCTTTAAGGCACAATGATGGAGACATGCTTCATGCGGAAGAGAAACGAGTGTGAAAAAAACCTCCAAGGTGCATCTACACCAGGAACAGGCAAACTTGGATCCTCCAAGTCCTTTGGACTTCAACACCCACAATCCCTAACAGCCAGGCATTCATAATACCTGGAGGGCCAAAGTTTGCCCATGCCTGATCTTCGCTGTAAAACGAATGCTGCTTGATCCCACTCAATGATATGGGATTATGGGAGTTGTAGTTTTACAAAGCTTGTAAGCGTTCTGTTGCCAAAGTGATGGACAAATCCCAGGATCCCAGTTTTTGTGAGCCATGGCATCAATCAGTATGCAGTATAACAGTAAGGGTCTGGAGAACAAGCCCTATGAGGAGTGGCTTAAAGAGCTCCTCATAGAAGAGAAGGCTGAGAGGAGACAAGATGAGGGCCATGTTTAAAGAGATGAGGGGAAGTCATAGGGGGGGAGGGAGCAAGCTTGTTTTCTGCTGCCCTGGGATTTTGGCCTGCATCATAGTGTCTAGATCTAGGGAAGTAATGCTACCCCTCTATTCTGCTTTGGTTAGACCACAGCTGGAATATTGTGTCCAATTCTGGGCACCACAATTGAAGATTTACAAGCTGGAATGTGTCCAGAGGAGGGTGACTAAAATGATGAAGGTTCTGGAGAACAAGCCCTATGAGGAGCGGTTTAAAGAGCTGGGCATGTTTAGCCTGAAGAAGAGAAGGCTGGGAGGAGACATGATAGCCATGTATGTGAGAGGAAGTCATAGGGAGGAGGGAGAAAGCTTGTTTTCTGCTGCCCTGGAGACTAGGACACAGAACAATGGTTTCAAACTACAAGAAAGGAGATTCCATCTGAACATTAGGAAGAACTTCCTGACAGTGAGAGCCGTTCAGCAGTGGAACTCTCTGCCCTGGAGTGTGGTGGAGGCTCCTTCTTTGGAGGCTTTTAAGCAGAGGCTGGATGGCCATCTATCAGGAGTGCTTTGAAGGCAATATTTTTTGCTTCTTGGCAGGGGGTTGGGCTGGATGGCCCATGAGGTCTCTCCCAACTCTTTGATTCTATTCTATTCATACCACAATGCCATCACTTTGGCAACAGAATGCTTTGTAAAACTACAACTCCCACAATGTATGAATCTTTAAGATTCTATGTGTTTTTGCAAGTGAAACAGCTCCAAGCTTCTGACATTTCATTTACAGTACTTCTGGTGTTACTTCCACAATCTTTGAGGATGCCTGCCACAGATGCAGGCGAAACGTCAGGAGAGAATGCTTCTGGAAGGTGGCCATACAGCCCGGGAAAACTCACAGTGAAAAAGAATAGTTCGATTCTTCTTGGTGTTGGCTGCAGCTCCAGATCGAGGGTCATTCCGTGGCTGCAGATCAGCTTCGCTTTCAAACCCAATTCAGAAACCTTAGCAAAGAGGAGGCGAGGAGAAAGCCACGCCCCTTTCTCTCTCTCTCCACTTTGCAAACAGGAGGCGGGGGAGAACGCCACGCCTCCCTCTCTCGCGCTCCCCGCCCTGTCCAGGGCGGGGAGCGCGAGAGAGGGGGGCGTGGCGTTCTCCCCGCCTCCCGCGCTGCCGCAGCTCGTTCCACCAATGGCGTGCCGCTTCCCAGAGGATGACCTCACCTCCTGCTTCCCTATTGCTTAGCTATATTAAGAAAGTCGCCGGCCCCTTTAAATACCGGCGCTGCAATGGAATAATCGAGGAGAGGCGCGAGAGGGAGGAAGAGAAAGGGAAAGAGAGAGAGAGAGAGAGAGCGCGCGCGAGAGAGAGGTGGCGATTTCCAGGGCTCGTGAATGGCATAGAGTTTGGGAAGCAAAGCAAGGCAAGGCAAGGAAGGGAAAGGAGGCGAAGCCATGGCGGCGGCGATCCGGAAGAAGCTGGTGGTGGTGGGCGACGGCGCCTGCGGGAAGACCTGCCTCCTGATCGTCTTCAGCAAGGACGAGTTCCCGGAGGTGTACGTGCCCACGGTCTTCGAGAACTACGTGGCCGACATCGAGGTGGACGGCAAGCAGGTGCAGCTGGCGCTGTGGGACACGGCCGGGCAGGAGGACTACGACCGCCTCCGCCCGCTCTCCTACCCGGACACCGACGTCATCCTGATGTGCTTCTCGGTCGACAGCCCGGACTCGCTGGAGAACATCCCGGAGAAGTGGGTGCCCGAGGTCAAGCACTTCTGCCCCAACGTGCCCATCATCCTGGTGGCCAACAAGAAGTGGGTGCCCGAGGTCAAGCACTTCTGCCCCAACGTGCCCATCATCCTGGTGGCCAACAAGAAGGACCTGCGCCACGACGAGCACGTGCGCGCCGAGCTGGCCCGCATGAAGCAGGAGCCCGTCCGCGCCGAGGACGGGCGCGCCATGGCCCTCCGCATCCAGGCCTACGACTACCTCGAGTGCTCCGCCAAGACCAAGGAGGGCGTGCGCGAGGTCTTCGAGACGGCCACGCGCGCCGCCCTCCAGAAGCGCCACGGCGCCCAGGGAGGCTGCGCCCACTGCTGCAAGCTCCTATGAGGCGGCAGGAGGAGGAGGAGGAGGAGGACAATGGGACTCTCCAGCCACCCCTCCCTCCCGCCCTCCCCCTTGGCTCCTTTAGGCAGGAGGAATCAGGAGGGCCTTCTCCTTCCCACCTTTCCTCCTTGGCCAAAGGAAGCCTGGGACAGAGGACATCAGGAGGAGGACAATGGGACTCTCCATCCATCCCTCCTCTTTGGCTCATTTAAGCAGGGAAGGGGAAGCTTAGAGAGGGGAGATGCCTGGCACTCACCCAACTGAAGGAACTAACTGCAAGGCCTTCTTCTTGCTTGCCCCTCCTCTCCCGCCAATCCTGCAAGTGGGGCATTCTCCCTTCCCCCTTTCCTCCTTGGAGGACAGAGGCCATCAAGAAGATGATAATGGGACTCTCCATCCATCCCTTCCTCCCCTTTGGCACATTTAGGCAGGAGAGGGGAGATGCGTGGCACTCACCCAACTCAAGGAACTAATTGCAAGGCCTTCTTCTTGCTTGCCCCTCCTCTCCCTCCAATCCTGCAAGTGGCGCATTCTCCCTTCCACCTGTACTCCTTGGCCAAAGGAACTGGGGGACAGAGGCCACCAGGAGGAGGATAATGGGACTTTCCATCCATCCACTCCTCTCTCCCCTTTGGCTCATTTAGGCAGAGAAGGTGGAACTAGAGAGAGGGGAGATGCGTGGCACTCACCCAACTCAAGGAACTAACAGCAAGGCCTTCTTCTTGCTTGCTCCCCCTCTCCCTCCAATCCTGCTCAGTGAAGCCTTCTCCTTTCCACCTTTCCTCCCAGGATAAAGGCCACCAGAAAGATGACAGTGGGACTCGCCATCCACCCCTCCCTCCCCTTTGGCTCATTTAGGCAACCGAAGGGGAAACTATGAGCAGCAGAAGCCAGGAGGAGGACTCAGTGCCGCCTTCTCCCATCCACCTCCCCTCCTTGGCCAAAAGGAAACCCAGGACAAAGGCCATCAGGAGGAGGACAATCGGTTCTCCATCCACCCCTCCTTCCCCTTTGGTTCATTTAGGCAGGGAAGGGGAAACTAGAGAGAGGGGATGCATGGCACTCATCCAACTCAAGGAACTAACTGTAGGGCCTTCTTCCTGTTTGCCCCTCCTCTCCCTCCAATCCTACTCAATGGGACCTCCTCCCTTCCACCTTTTCTCCTTGGCCAAATGAAATGGGGGACATGCCATCAGGAGGAGGACAATAGAACTCTCCATCCATTATTTTGGCTCATTTAGGCAGGGAAGGGGTAACTAGAGAGGTGCGTGTGCGTGTGGCACTCATCCAACTCAAGGAACTAACTGCAGGGCCTGCTTCCTGTTTGCCCCTCCTCTCCCTCCAATCCTACTCAATGGGGCCTTCTCCTTTCCACCTTTCCTCCTCAAGGGCCATCAGAAAGGCAATCCACTCTGTTGGCTCATTTAGACATGGGAGGGGAAACCAGAGAGAGGGGGGATGTGTGGATCCAACTCAAGGAACTAACTACAGAGCCTTCTTCCTGTTTGCCCCCTCCCCTCCAATCCTACTCGTTGTGGCCTTCTCCCCACCTTGGCCAAAGTGGACAAGAGGATGACAATAAAACTACTTTAGCTCCTTTAGGGAGTGGAGAAGCCAGATCAGTTGGAAAACCAGAAGGAGGATTTGACAGCACTCTTCCAACTCAAGGAACAACAAGGCCTGCTTTGGGCCTGCCCCTCTTCACCCTCCAATGTGGCCTTCTCCTTCCCATTTGGCGAAAGTGGGTGCTCACTCCTCCACTGGAGGAGGAGGGAGGAGGAAAGATGACAACAAGACTTTTTATCCGCCCTTCATTTAAGGAAAGAAGGAAGAGAAAGGTGGTATTCTCCCATGCAGGATCTCTTGCAAAAGGGACTGGAGGGCCTTCTTCATGCTTGCCCCTCTCCTTTTCCTCCGATCCTTTGGAGGGGGGCATGAATGTAGCCCACTTCTTTCAAAACTTTCTTGGAACTCACCTCCAGAGCCATTGGAGAGAGGCCTGAATGTAGCCTTCTCTCTCCCTCCCTCCTGCCTTTCTTCCTTGGTGTTGGCTTTTCCCAGCCAAAGTGGGACTCCAGAGACTGCTAAATGAACTGGGGGACCGGCGGGAGGGCTGAGGATTGTTCCTGCACTTCATTCAATGTTTTCTATACCTGTTCCTCTACACCAGTGTTCTCAACCTGTGGGTCCCCAGGTGTTTTGGCCTACAACTCCCAGAAATCCCAGCCAGTTTACCAGCAGTTAGGATTTCTGGGAGTTGAAGGCCAAAACATCTGGGGACCCACAGGTTGAGAACCACTGCTTATAAAGTAAGAATCTGATGGCTTGATATCACAAAACATAGTTTAAACAAGCTGCACTTTAGCTTAGGCGAAGCCTTTATAAGGGGTGGGTGGGAGAGGTCATGGAGGAAGGGAGGGGGAAGGGGTGTGTGTGTGTGTATGTGTGTACGTGTAAAAGTATCCTTTTCTTTTGACCGGGTATGCTGAAGTGGCGTGGCTTTATTTAAACACTGGACTGGCCCCCAAAGCTCTCTTGGAAAGTTTTGATTCAGATGACTGGGAAGGAGGAGGGCCTTGCCTCTCCTTTCCTGTGGTTGCTTTTTTTACTTTTTGTTGGGGGGAACAGAGGGGGTTATTCCTGGCATGGATCTTCTCATAAGGAGATTTTCACGTGCGGTTAGAGAGTGGCAGGGCAGAGGAAATGGGTCGAGGGTTTTCAGGATTTTAGTGCCTGTTCTCCTTTAATTCCCTCCTCCCCTTGCAAATATTTTTGTTTATTTAAATAAATGATCTACCTTCCGGAAGAAGAGAGCAACTACTTTTGCACAATTGGGGTGTTTTCTTTGGAGGCTTTGTATGCACTTCTGCAATTCGGACACGGTAGCATTGCAAAAACCCTTGAATCAGGACCTCATTGTGGGCACAATCTGGCTAAGAAGCACTTTCCAGTGAAACCTGTTTTTGTTTTTAATTGCGTAACCAGATCTAAGCATGTCAAAGGACTCCAAACCGATTGAACTCTGGCTGGGTTGTGTCCTTTTCCTTCTGTAAAACCAATGCAAGAAGCAAAACCACTGTAATTGTCTCTTTGTTGTTCCTTGGTGGAAAAACACCACTGTCTGTATTTGTGACATTTCACAGTTGTTGTTGTTGGTTGTTGGTTTGTTTGTTTTGAAGTTTCAGTCTTTGAGTTCATTTCAAACAGTTGCACACTTTGTTTTCACAGGCCTGCTTTTCTGAGCCTGGGGGCCCTTCCACACAGCCTGTATCCCAGAATATCAAGGCAGACAATCCCACATTGTCTGAATGTGGACTCCGATAATCCAGTTCAAAGCAGATATTGTGGGAGTTTCTGTCTTGATATTTTGGGATATAGGGCTGTGTGGAAAGGCCCTGCGTCAGAATAATGTGCTTCTCTGGGCCCTTCCACACAGTCCTATATCCCAGGATATCGAGGCAGGAAATCCCACATTATATTAGTGTGGACTCAGATAATCCAGTTCAGAGCAGCTATTGTGGGATTTTCTGCCTTGATATTCTGGGATATGGGGCTGTGTGGAAGGGCCCTCTGTTTCAGATAACTGGTTTCATCTCCCTTTGCCCTTACCGTTCAAAGCAAAACAAGCAAAAAAGCAGTGGTACTAAGATCTTTATTTAAAGAAAAACCACAACACTACATTGACCTGCTAAGAAGAGAAGACATGAAGTTTACATGAAACGATATAAGCTGTGTATGCAGTCTTTTTTTTTTGTAAAGTATTAAAAGATTCTATGATTATGCTCATGAGATGCTTGTTTTGTCCTCCTGTTTTGATTTTCTTTGTGGCGCAGTTCAAATCTCTCCTGGTTCCAAGAACAAAAACATCAGCATTCATGGTTCAAGGGAGGCTACAAGTGGTTTGTGGTTCAAGGCATTCATAATTCCAGTTGATACTCAGCTCTAACAAAGCTGATTTATTCCCCTGGTGAAGATCTCCTCTAATTTGTTGCTAACTTGTGTCAAGTCGACCCCATTATAGAGGAATCATATTGGCTTAATGGATTTAACTAGCCTAGGTACTGTCCATGCAACCATTGCAAACTTATGGGCAGCTTGAAGAAAAGAGAGCCTTTTATTTAAATTAGAGTGCCAGAGTGGCCCTTAAAAAAAAGCATAGAGACTTGATTTGCAGTTCAGTGTAAAAAAAAAAAAAGCACATACACAAGGAAAAGAGCTTTTTTTCCAAAGGCCTTTGTCCTGCAGGGATGAGGTCAGTGCCTTTTCGCTTGCTTCTTCTGGGTCTTAATGCTTCCTTCTTTTCTGTTGCCTAAGCAGCTTTAAGAATAGCACACTTCGAGGATAAGGTATGGGTATGTGTATGTTCCTGTCCTTCTGCCAGTGCCAGGCAAAAATCTGTTTTGGAATATGGCAAAAAAAAAAAAAAAAACTCTCCTGAATGTCTTGCTTGCGTTTCTGGAGAATCGGAACTTCGTGAGTGAAAGCAATCTGCAATCATCTTAAATCTTTTCTCAGGGGGTCTCAAGTTTATACTATGTTGACCTTAAAAAACAACAGTTCACAATCATGGGAAAAATCTAAGTAATGTAGGAATGTATTGGTAACTTAAGGCCCTTCCTGACATGCCCTATATCCCAGGATCTGCTTTAAACTGGATTATATAAGTCTGCACTGCCAGATAATCTGGGATAAACAGAAAACCTGGGATCAGATCCTGGAATATAGGGCCTGTCTGGAAGGACCCATAGTTTTTTTTTGGTTTTGTTTTTGTCGTGTCAGGAGCGACTTGAGAAACTGCAAGTCGCTTCTGGCTGTCTGCAAGGACATTGCCCAGGAAACGCCCCGATGATTTTTTTAATGTTTTACCATCCTTGTGGGAGGCTTCTCACATGTGCCCGCATGAGGAGCTGGAGCTGATAGAGGGAGCTCATCCGCACTCTCCCCGGATTCGAACCTGCGACCTTCAGTCCTGCTGGCACAGTGTTTTAACCCACTGCGCCACCGGGGGCTCCAGGACCCATAGCGATTTATCTTATTTTCTCTCTTATTACATGTAGTGTATGTTGGAAGAAAAGTGTCCTCGAACATCCACGAACAAATCCAAGTTTTTAAAAGCCTGAATCCAATAGTAATTCTTCTACAATCAGAGCTGCATCTACACTGTAGAATCAATGTGGTTTGACACCCTTTAATTGTCATGGCTGAATGCTATGGAATCCTGAGAGTTGTAGTTTGGAGAAGCACCAATGCTCTTTGGCAGGAGAGGCTAAAGGCATTATAAAAC